TGTGGTTTTGCTAATGCATCTCCCAGATTTCGAAGAACTACCAGTTTTGCCATGACTAAAATCTTAAAGATCTGTTTCTGTTCAGTTTCTCAAACTGAAACTCATTGGAAAAATAATGTATAATGTTATTTGTTTTATGATAGCAATTATTCCTAATTAAAGCAGTATTTAATGCAATTTCCAGTTATTTTTCTTTGGAGAATTTTGTTATTGCATTACCTTGAATGTTGGGAAGATGTAGTATGTGTTGCGTGTTCCTTACAAAAATAAGTAAGCACAATAAAGTGGATGCTAAACCATCAAACACATAAATGTCCCTGCTGTGTCCCTGAATGTGTAATAAGCAAGTATAATAAATATTTTAATTATAGTTTTGTTATAAATATAACTTATGAGAAAAAAATTTGATAGGAATAATACTGTATATTGCTAATTTTTAACTGTCCCTACTGGCAAATCTTATGATTCATAGACTTTCCTCATATACAGTATTCAGTGCACAGAAGTCTTATGATTGGTTCAAGTACAGTAAGTTCAGTGATTTCCAACTAAAACTTTCAAGTCTGAGTCAGTGTTTCTAGTTCTTTTGGCTGTATGTTTAGTATCCGGGTTTCTTATGCCCTTCCTTCATCTTTGGGGTTTGAGAGCACTGTTTTTGGGAGAAAGTTCAGAAATATATTAGGAAAGAATGAAACAGTTAAAAGTTTTACTTTCAGAGATACTGTAGGTGCTAATACTGGATTTAATCTTTCAGATTTAGTTTCTTTTACGGATCTGTTATTCAGTAAATCTCATTGGTCTGTGTAATATTTTAATTGTATAAAATTCCTTTGTTACTTTAGAGCCTGTAATAGTGTGTCTGTCTGCCTTTTAAACCTGTTGCAATAACTTTGCTGAAATAAGAACACATTAGTAAAACTTTTCTTAAACAAATCGTCTCTGTATCATATTTGGTGTGATTTGGTAAAGTGATATGGCATTAAATTCCGCAGATAAACAATACTACTAGAATCGGTGCAGCTTAATAGTTTCCAACAAACATCTTACACTCACCACACTTTCTAGTTTTTTACATGCTTTATCTCATAAGAGGCAGATATGTTAGCTAAATAGATAAAAACCAAGAAATCATCCCTGAGAGTCAAAACTGTATTCAATTAAAGAAATGAAAGATTAGGATGTTTCATTAGGAATAAAATACCAGTTATTGTTACTATCTTGGATCATGTGATGACTCTTTTTTAAGATGAAGTGCATTTTAGTAGAGAATAACCACTTATAAAATATAGTCCATATTCTGACTTTTGTGAGATTATTTTTCTTTATAAAATTTTCAGGGGCGCCTGGGTGGCTCAGACGGTTAAGCCTCTGCCTTTGGCTCAGGTCATGATCCCGGGGTCCTGGGATCAAGCCCCTCAGCGGGGAGCCTGCTTCTCCCTCTCCCTCTGCTACTCCCCCTGCTTGTGCTCTCTCTCTGTCAAATAAAAAATAAAAAAATCTTTAAAAAAGAAAATTTCAGCTTCTCTTTCCTACCCAATTTACACTAACAGTAAATGGTATGCATAAAGAAGGTCATAAGACCCTGCCTGGCTCCTAGCATAAAGACATGGTTTCTCAAGAGTAACATGCTTTGTTTTTCGGGAGGTCAGAGTACTAGTGCTATACATGATTTATACACTGAACTCGCCTTCCCCTTGCCATGTGTCTCCTAACCCACCCTAATCCTTCTAATTCCATGAGGGCAGAGGTTGTTTCTAGTTACCCTTGCATCTATCCCTAACTCCCAAGCATCATCCTTGCAGGGGACACATCTACTTAACACTCATATTTGCTAAGTGAGTAAGATACAGGCTGACGGGGCATTAGCAGAGTTACTTCACTACATCTTGATTAGTAAGGTGTTTAACTTCGTAAGATGTGACTTGTATACTCCCCCATGTAAAGTTCTAAGACTAGAAAGATATCTGTGGCTTAAACTCCATTAGAATAGACTTTTGCACAGAGATAACTACTCTTGAGGATTCCGGTGACCTTTTTCCTGTACATAGGAATTCCCAGGGAAAGGAAAGGAATTACATTTAAAAAAAATCTGGAAGTATGTAGATCTGTAAATAATGAGTAAGCCTCCAACTCATCCTTTGTCCTTTTTTTTTATTCTGTAGATCACTGACATTGTCCATAAGTGATCCCCATCCTCCTCTGTGCTTGGTTGGAGGATAAACCAATAAATATAAGCATTACACAGTGACCCACTTTAATCTGCAAGTGTGTAAGGTGTGAAGGATTTTATTCTTCCTCCCACCGAAGCTGTAGTGAGTGGTTTTCCAACAGTACTCCACAGTACTCAAAATTTGGAAATGTGTACAAGATAGCAAATATGTACAGTGAATTGTGAATGCCAAAATGTAGGTTCTGTGCCACCTAAGTTCTAGGATGGTTCGCTTCAAAATGAATAAACATAGAATTATATGACTGTAATAAAGGCTATAGCTCTTCTTGTCTTACATCCTAAGTTCTTACATATTTCAAATGGTGCAGATGTGAGGTTCTGTGAAATTCTGCCTACAAGCCCTGTAGGAATTGAATGCCTACTTTAAAAAAAAAAAATTAAACCTCCACTTTGCAAAAAGCAGTAATTTTATGAATCAGGCACAACCAAAGATTTTGGTTAAGGGTCATTGTCAAAATGAGTTTATGCCAGCAGAATTTTCTGATTTTTTAAAAAGAGCATCTGAGCAATATAAGTGTTTACTGACCTTGTAAGAACTTACCTTTGTGCTGTCACTTTTTTTATGTGAAATCTTTAACCATCAGAACCATAAATGACCTTGCCTTTGACGAATTTATTTCTTTTGTTTCAGCTACAAAGATTAAAAAAAAAAAAGTGGCGGGCTGCCTGGGTGGCTCAGGCAGTTAAGCATCTGACTCTTGGTTTCGGCTTAGGTTGTGATCTCAGGGGTCATGAAATCGAGCCTCATGTCAGGCTCTGCAGACAGCGGGGAGTCTGAGACTCTCCTTCCTCTGCCCCTCCCACTCATGCTCGCTCGCTCTCTAAAATAAAATAAATCTTTAAAAAAAGGTGGGGGGGGCTAAAAATCAGTTCATTGGCTGCCAAATCTGTCGTTCTTGATCTTAATGTTTTTGTTCTTATATATATTTTCTTACCTCGTATTTTCACAGGCCAATTTATTGCCAGGAAATGAACATAATAATTTGTATTCAAAATGTTTTGGCAATTAGTCTTCTGGGAACAACCAAATGCCAAACAACATAACCGTAGAAGCTCAGATTCTGTGATATACAAGGACTCAGAAACAGATGTAATGTGACCTTTTCTTCCCAATTAAAGGATTGCTGGGCCCATTTGCATATCTTTGTGTATCTCATACAATGCACAAATGTTTTATTTAGTCCAATTCCTAATTTCTTAGATGTTTGAAGGATTATGTGCTTGAAAAAGCAACATTATTATAGATGTGACTGTCTACTTTAAAATGAGTGATGCTTTAGTTAAACAATTAGGAAAGGAAAGGCCTAACAGCAAGTTGTGGGCATTTTTAATATTGCAGAAAAAGATCTTCACTTAATGTCTAATGATATGGAGGGACTACATCAGGATGGGGAAGATCACCTTTTTAAGTAACCAGAATTCCCAGCAGAAACCATATTGACAGAAACTTTACCAACCCCTGACGGCAAGAGCTACAGATTAAAAATAATCAGATCCTTGATCGAGACTCTGAGAAAACTCTTGAGGGGGAAAGAAAGTTCCTTGTGTACATTGATTTCTATTTCCAAGTACTGTGTAGGTTTTGAAGTGACCACAATCTTTCTATTTATCAAGGTAATGTGCAGTGTCAGGATAATACTGCAACTGCATATTAATTCTATGTAACAGTTAAAGGCAGAAAGTAAAAATCCCTCTGGGACTGGAGGAAGCATTTAGGGTAAAATTTGGTCTAATCAATTCATTCTACAGACAGGCTTATTAAGAACTTAAAAAATTATTTGCCTAAGTCCTAATAAGGTTTTTTTATGCAACTTGACATGCTGATTCTAGAAAAAGTGAAGAGACCTGCCCTACAACTAGCAAGATAGATTAAGTTGTAATGCTTAACACGGGGCATTGGTACGAGGATTAGCTCGCAGAATAGTGGAACAGAATAGGGACCGGGATGCAGACTCAAGCTTGTCCGGTTGGCTGTTCTCTTGCCCCTCCAGAGCCTTTTTCCTCCATGTGCAACTTTAGGTTCTAGAAAACTGATCTCTGCGGACGGCCTCCACCACGTTCCCTCGGCCTGTGGCTTCCAGTAGGATTCAGCCAATGGGAGAAAAGACTGAACAGGAAATCTGAGCATGGTACGCTGATTCATGGGAGTGGCTAGCTGGCCATCTGCTTAGGGACCTGGGAGGACAAAAGTGGAAGGCTGGTGAAGAGTAGAGGAACGCTCTGTGGAAGAACCTCCAGGAACAGTCTCAGAGTGTGAAGAAATCCATATGCCATGTGAATGCCCACAAGATAGCACCCACTGCAGAGAGGGTCTCACTGTGGACGTGGAAAGCTCTCTGATGTCAGTCAGCCTCTCCCCAGCCCCCCTGGTGCTTGCTCACGGGGACCATGTAAAATGGTCATGGCAGCAAGGATGGAGGCTACACGTGACTCAGCAGCATTGGCTTCCGCTCATTATGACGGATCTGGCTACTGCCACTGCCCAGTGCCCAAATGGCCAATAGAGGCCATTGCTAAGCCCCCAAGGTGGCACTCTTCTCCAGAGGGGGTTTTGATGAGAACAAACTAGACATTTTAATTACTGAATGGGCACTGTGTTTTGTGACTTATAAAGATCATGGGACTTTTTTTTTTTTCAACCGAAGAGTGACAAGAATAATCACGGACCTTCCTCAGTTTTCATCCAGGATAGGGGAAGAACTATACCAACCCAACAAATCAATGTAAAGGGACAAAAATAGTATTGGAGACAAAAATAAAGTTGCTTTACGATTACATTCCATGAGTTCTCCTAACTGATACACATACACGCAAGTTGTATATTAGTACCATATTATTTTTGGATACATGCATCTATGGTAAAATATGTCCATCTGCCTGGGAGCAATGAACACTAAGTTGACTGTAGCTGGTGGTTACCTGTAGAGAGGGAGGAAAGAGAATGATGGGGTCAGAAAGAGGAGCACAGAGCTTACACTGAATTTGTAATATTAAACGGCTTTTTATTTTCTATACATTTTCAAATTTAAAAAATTTTATTACAAAAACAAACACCTACAGATGTCCATACTATATCTAAGTATTATACACACCAGTTAGCATCTGCAGTGTCATGATGGGCTTTGATAATTTGGACACACCCCCTCGGATTTCACTCGGGTCTCTACTTCCAATTTCCTCTAAGGGTTCAGGCCTATTTGTCTCGTTGGTTTCACTGTTAAGAAGCACTAACCTCTGAGTTCTGCTACTTGTAAATATACCAAAAAAGTGAAAAATATGGACAAAGGGCTTTTTCCTGTTTATAGATATGTGAGTAGCCCTTTTAAAACAAATGAATTAAACTTCTAGGCTAGAAGCAGCATAGAGCCGAGGGTAAAGTTCAGGGTCCAGCTGAATTTCTCATGTAAACATGTTGAAGGTGAGAGAAAGAGAAGCTGACTAGGAAACTTAGGATCTCACTTCCCCATAAACAGGGTTAAGTCCAAAGTCACTTCAGCCTTCCCAGAGCTCCACGGGTCACATCCAAAGCTTACTGACCCTAACAGGTTGGCAACACAGAGAATGATAATGATAATGCTCACAGCAAGATCAGCAAGTGGCCCAAAGCTTCTGGTTCTTGTCTCCAAAAATATCAACAGTTAACACAATTTCATGACCAGATTTCAGTATTTCCAGCTGAAAACATTTTCATAACTAAACTGGACATAACAGAAACTGACAATTTCGTGGGTTTTATCACTGTGGGATACTCTAAAGGTAGAATAGAATTATTACTTTATCTGCTCTAGCTAATTTAGTAGTAAAATACCCAGATAATGTTCTGGGACATGGAACCCAGTTAAAAATTATCTATTCTCCAGTCTTCTCATAGAGGATGAATACTAAACTCAATTAAAATGATTAGCTCACCAACAAGAAACCTGTAAGAAGTGTTTAAATGAAAAAACGTAGACATAATGCCAGAAGCTTTTAAAATGTAACAGATTTTTAAGTTTCACATTTTTATTTTAATCCAGGCCTCTTATTTCTTATTATTTTAAGCACTGACATCTCGAGAGATGTTTAATTTATAAATGCTCCATATAAAGAATAAAAGAGAATGGTAATAATGACAATATAATTCCATCTCTGTAACTTGAACCAGAAAGTTTGGAACTTAACGTTTTAAAATAAATCTTCATTTATCTTGTCATCTCATGGAAACTGATGCCCATATACAGATGAGTCTCAATTGTATTCTAAGAGTTGTCCCTACACAGAAAAATTATTTCAATAAACTTTACTCTGAAGTGGAATGACCCATTTTGTTAGTTATATGAAGTTCTCAACATGGGGCCATGTCTGTGATCCATTAACACCAAAAAAGGTAAGGCATTAAAATGAAAACCAATGAATGGAATTTTGATACAGGGTAGACTCGATCAAGACTACCCTCTAAGCCTACCTTTACCTGTGGCTACATACTTAAAAACAAAAGAGAGCACTGTCCTAAACTGTAAGTACTTAGAAATACTGAGTTTATCCTGGTTTTCATTTAGACCTAAAGACAATTCCCTAGGGCGCCTGGGTGACTCAGTTGGTTAAGCAACTGCCTTCAGCTCAGGTCATGATCTTGGAGTCCCGGGATCGAGTCCCACATCGGTCTCCCCGCTCAGCGGGGGGTCTGCTTCTCCCTCTGACCCTCTTCCCTCTCGTGCTCTCTGTCTCTCATTCTCTCTCTCTCAAATAAATAAATAAAATCTTAAAAAAAAATATAAAGACAATTCCCTAAATTACATGGACCCTAACAAACGTGAAGACCTGCCAGCACTTAGATGCCCCTGACATAAAGTCACATGAATTTTTTGATGGAAAGACCACATTTCTCTTTGCTGACTCATCCAGAAAATCACTAAGAAAACAGTTTTCTGTAACCCGCTAAATGGCCATCGTTTTTCAGAAGATAAATTACATTTTTTTAGAAAAGGAAAAGGCGTGGTCATTGTGTATTCTGCAATGACAAAATGACAATACAGTTTTTGTTTCTCTTCACATTGTTGCCCGCTCATCTCTCCTGGAATTCATTCACTCTTCCTGCAAACTCTGTCACATGTCACCTCCTCAGGGAAGCTGCTATAGGCTGAATGACTGCATCCCCTCAAAATTCATATATTCATATATTAAAATCCTAGATAGACCCCTAGTCCCTAATTCAGAGCCCTCATGAATGAGATCAGTGCCCTTACACGAGCAGCCCAGAAAGCTCCTTTGCCCCTTCTACCATGTGAGCTTACGATGGAAAGACAGCCCTCTAGGAAGTGGGTGCTCACCAGACACTGACTCCGTTGGCACCACGATCTGGGACATCTCAGTCTCCATAACTGTGAAATGCAAGTTTCTGCTGTTTAGAAGCCACAGAGTCTATGGTATTTTATTATAGCAGCCCAAATGGACTAAGACAGATGCCTACTGCAACCTTCTAAAATGTCCCCACCCACAACATTCTGTTACCCAGCTTTATTTTATACCACCTGACAAATAATTATTTGTTTATTGTCTATCTCCCATCAGAGTCTGTGTTTTCTATTCACTGCTTTTTCTTTAGCACTTACACAGAGCCTGGCAGTAGATATTCAAACATCACTAGATGCTCAAGACATATTTGTTGAATGAAGAAATAAATGCATGCATGAGTGACGGGCGCTGTGATGGATTTGAGGGTTACCTTCGGGGAATGCACAACCTAATGGAAGGAACAGACACATAAAATGTGCAATATAGCATGATAATTGTTATACCAGAAGAGTATAAGGCATATGGGTGACCTAAAGAAGGGGTGGATAGATTAGGGATGCTGTCACAGAGAAAGATTTACTTCAGCTGGGTCTTGAAGGATGCAGAAGAGTTCATTGGGTAAGGTGAAATAAAGAAAAGCCTAGAAAGAGGGAATAGCATGTGCAAAGAAAGGAGACAAAATCCCTCGGGTCCTTGAGTAGTTCAACAGGAGTGGAGCAAAGAGGGTGTGAGGGAGGAAGACCTATACTACAAGAAAATCAGCAGCACTGTTGTCTAAGAGAGCAACTAAAATCACACCAGTGCCTGCTAGCCTCCCTGCTTCTCTCCAGGGAATCTACTTTGTCCTGCACCTCCAGCGCAGGTGTCTAAGCCTAAGAGCAATGAGGTGCTAGCCTACAGGTGTTCTGTTCACTCTCTTCTAAGGAAAATGTCAAGAGTGCAAAATAGCGGAATAGAAAACCCAGAAATAAACCCACAACTATATGGTCAATTGATCTTCGACAAAGCAGGAAAGAACATGCAATGGGAAAAAGGAATCTCTTCAACAAATGGCGTTGGGAAAACTGGACAGCCGCATGTCAAAGAATGAAACTGACCACTTTGTCACCACGCACAAAAATAAATTTTTTAAAATGGATGCAAGACCTAAATGTGAGACATGAAACCATCAAAATCCTAGAAGAGAGCCCAGACACAATAACTTCTTTGACATCAGCCAGAGCAACTTCTTTCAAGATAGGTCTCCTGAGGCAAGGGAAACAAAAGCAAAAATAAAATACTGAGACTACATAAAAATAAAAAGCTTCTGCACAGCAAAGGGAACAATCAACAAAACTAAAAGGAAACCTACGGAGTGGAAGATATTTGCAAATGACATATCCAATAAAGTGCTAGTATCCAAAACAGAGAGAGAACTGAGACAACTCAACACCCAAAAAACCCCAGATAATCCAATTTAAAAATGGGCAGAAGACATGAACAGACATTTTTTTCAAAAAAGACACGCAGAGGCCAACAGACACTAAAAAGATGCTCATCATCACTTCCTGTCAGGGAAATGCAAATCAAAACTACAATGAGATATCACACCACACCTGTCAGAATGGCTAAGATCAACAACACAAGACAACACACAACACAAAACAGGTTTTGATGAGGATGTGGAGAAAAAGGAACCGTCGTGCACTGTTGGTGGGAATGCAAACTGCAGCAGCCACTGTGGAAAACAGCATGGAGTTTCCTCAGAAAGTTACAAATAGGGCTGGACCCTACAGTCCAGCCATCACACTACCAGGGCTTTACCCAAAGAATATAAGAACACGAATCCAAAGGGATACATGCATCCCTGTGTTTATAGCAGCATTATTTACAATAGCCAAGATAGGGAAGCAGCCCAAGCGTCCATCAGTTGATGAATGGATCAAGAAGATATGAAATATATATTTCGTATCTGAATACTATTCAGCCATAGAAAAGAATGACATATCGCCATTTACAACAACATGGATGGAGCTAGAGAGTATTGTGCTAAGTGAAATAAGTCAGTCAAGGAAGGACAAATACCATATGATTTCACTCATATGTGGAATATAAGAAACAAAACAAACGAACAAAGGGGAAAGAGAGAGAGAAACCAAGAAACAGACTTAAACCACAGAGAACAAACCAATGGTTACCAAAGGGCAGATGAGTGGGGGAATGGGTGAAATAGGTGATGGGGATTCAGGAGTATGCTTGGTGTGATAAGCACAGGATGATGTATGGAAGTGTTGAATCACTATATGGTACACCTGAAGCTAATATAACACTGTATCTTAACTATCTGGAATTTAAATAAGAACTTTTTAAGAGTGTAAAACAGGGACACTGAAATGAAAGGTCATCGTCTTACACTTTGCTTGAGGAGTCATCAGCCTCTGACCCGGATCATCACCTCTGCTGCCTTAGGGACAAAGTTGAGGCAGGGGGTTCAGGAGGGAGATGGCCTCTACCAGTCTTGGCTCAGGCTTGGGAAGCTTGTGTTCAAGCTGAAACTTGGAGCCACATGATCTCTTTCCTGGGTCCACTGTCCCTCCAGAAGATTAGTACCCACCATCCATAGCAAACTGCCTCTTCTTGGATATTCTGAGGCTGATGCTATAGTCATGAAAAAAGCATCCTCCCATTAACCACGAGAAAACAAAGCACAGAGGTGAAAGTAGGAGTTATGTGTCTGTGCCAGAAACTGGGAATACATTAAGGCCAAACTAAAGGAAGAGCGTCACACCATGTTGCCACAGGGGAGGGCACAGACAAGACGGAGAGCATGGCACTGACGGTTTGTGCATGCTTGAACAAGATTATAAATTGTTTATTACCAAGCATATAATCTGCTGTTACCGGTTAAAACTCTTGAAACCATGATCTCAAAAGTTAGAAAAGAAGAACTTAGAAGAGATTTGAAAAGCGTCTATCTTTGCTGGAGACATTTCTGTGTTAATTTAATGTGCTTGAAATCAAGATGGGTACAGGATGAGGAAAGAAATCTGAGGGGGGAAAAGGAACACAGATTACCCGGAATTGCCCAGATCTTACATTTGTCAGGGAGATCCAAGGCAGACCCTGGCCTCCGGAGTTTTCCAGAGTCTGCCCATACAAGCGCATATGGGGTTTTACCATTGGCTAGAAAAACACTTGTAAGTTCACCCGTCAATAGCTTTCCTTGAGCGGCTAAGGAAATATCCTAACAGCACTTCTCTGTACTCTTCTTTAATAATGCAAGTTGCCTAAAAATGCTTACCTTCCTATCCTTAGTCCAAATTGTCATTCTTTCAGAACAACTGGGGGTTCAACTTCATTTAATATACTCCCCAAAACATAAGGCTTTTCTTCTCAGGGCAAGGAGACCAAGAATGTGATGGAATTTAGAGGAAGGAAACAGCAAGGAACAGCTGTTGACCAAATAAGCAAGGGCAGGGATGGTATGAAAACAATAATGATAGTATTACCTTGTATTTCAAAAGCACCTTTCTGCAAAAGGCTTGAAGTACTGTATAGAGTATGCAGATTTTGTCTCTTATCCTCGGTGATCGAAAAAAAATTAGATTCATTGGGCGCCTGGGTGGCTCAGTTGGTTAAGCGACTGCCTTCAGCTCAGGTCATGATCCTGGAGTCCCGGGATCGAGTCCCGCATCGGGCTTCCTGCTCAGCGGGGAGTCTGCTTCTCCCTCTGACCCTCTTCCCTCTCGTGCTTTCTATCTCTCATTCTCTCTCTCTCTCAAATAAATAAATAAAATCTTTAAAAAAAATTAGATTCATTCTTATTAACGTGTGTTTCCATAGCTACCCACAAATATTTTGGCTGTTTCTATTTGCTGTGTCTATAAGTGCAATTAATTTCTTCATTGAGCAGTATCGGGAAATCCCGGTAACTTCTCAGCTTCTTCAGTTGTTTAGGGTGATGTTTTCCATACGGTCAGGCAGTAGCTTTTCCCTTCTTTTGCCATGTTTGTGGCTTCATTGTACTTCGTTGTACTTGTCTGAGTCCAGGTTAGCATGTGTGTCTTGCCCTTTCAATCATCAGAACTTGCCTACAATCTCTGCCTTGCGGTTCCATTCACCACCATCAAACTTGCACCTTCCTGGTATCATAACCTCTGTGATTCTCTTCTATGTGACTGTTTTAATGAATGGCATTCCATTTACATGGCTGTGTAGTCATTTTTTTTTTATTTCTTGACAATAGGTACACATCAACCTGATTTTTCTCTTCATTCTCCATAATGTAACTTAAGACACGTCTTTTCTCCCACCTTCCTGAACTTGACAGTGCCATGTGACCAACAGTTTCATCACAGGTTTCTCCCTAGGTAGTTCTATATATTCTGTCTGGACATCTCCTTAAATCCTCTTTTTTTACATAGTAGAAGTGTTTCTCTAAAAATTCATTTTACTCTCTTGTGGTCTCGTCTGATACATATTAGTTGGAATCAAAGATCTTAGAAGTGAAAGAGGGCCCCTCGATTTTTTATCTATCCCTCTGCCTTTAAGAAGATACATACTGCTCTCACGAACAGGTGGCGCCACTGAAGTCCAGAGAAGAGATCTGTTTATGGCCACACCTCTATTAAGGAAGCAAAAGCTGGACCCCCACTCCCCAGTTGAGGAACAGTGGGAGACTGGAAAAGGCAGTTGACCCTAGAGAAGGAAAGTCTCTGAGTCAGTAAAGTAGTCAATTGGTACTTGGGTGGAGAAGTTAGAGTGCTTGGACTCAAATCTATAATACTTAAGGAATATTAATAACAACCACTGAAAAGCTATGTAGGAATGAAAATTACAGAAGAATGGAATTGTGCTCAATAACTAATGTTCCGATCATCTAACGCTCCGATCATCTAATGCTGCACAACAAACTACCCCAAAACTGAGGGATTTCAAATAATATTTTGCTCACAAATCTGCAATCCAGGCAGAGCTCTGCAGGGACAGCTCATCTCCACTCCCTCCAAGTTAGCTGGGATTGCTCACAGTCTGAGAGTTAGAATCATCTGAAGGCTCACTCATCTCAGACATGTGGAGGACAGAATATGGGGCTGCCAGGGCTCCATCCAGAGACATCACTCTGTACCTCCATGTGACCTCTCCATATGGACCTTTCAGCGTGGCAGCGGCAGGACAGTCACACTTCCTACATAGCAGCTCATTGCTCCCAAGGGATGTAGCTCAAGAAAGAGAGTCAGGTGGAAGCCTTTTATGAAGTCATACAGCATCACTTCTGCCACATTCTCCTGGTCAAGGCAATTACAAAGTGCCGTTGAAAACCGACCTCTGCTCTGGGGCCAAAGTATGTACCACGAAGACAGATTTTACACATAGTAATAAACTTTGCCAGGCAAAGGAGGCTGTAGCAGGCTAACGCCTCCGGGACTGCAAACCCACCCACAGTAAAAGGCTGAGGGGTTTTATAAGAAAAAACAGGATCTGGGTGGTTTCAATAGGAAACTGGTACTTGCTGCCAGCCACGTTCTTTATGTCTTCAAGCTGGTCTCATGACTAGTGCTGGCGCTGGCCATCCCCGCCTTGTTACTACGCATACACTGAGATCAGCGAGATGTCAATATTGACACCGCATTCCTGGAACAAAGGATTCTACAGAAAAACAAGTGAAAGGGAGGAGGAGGCTTCAAGAATTAGGAAGAGAAAAATCTGTTTAGTTTGATGTCAGGCCTTGCTGAAGCACTAGTGTGTCCATCTTGATTTCCAGCCCTCTTTACGTTTCTATAGCAGTTTCAGAATGTCTTTCCAGAGGCGGATATAGACACCCCCTCTCTCGATGGAGGAGTGTCAACATCATATTGCAAGAAGAGTACATGGGATGAGATCTATATCAGAGCAGCTGTCTTTGGAAAACACAATCTGCCACAACTGAAAACCACGGGATTACCAAACCATTAAAACAGCCCTTGAAAAGGCCATCAGTTTGTCACTAACAAAACTAATTCTGCAAGATGAGCTCAAACGTAATTGTCCCATCCTTTTGGAATTCCTCTTCGATGTCCCCCAGCTTCCATAGCCCTTTGTAAATATGCCCACTCTGCCATCAGGATGTTCTATTTTCAAAACATGATTGTAATCAGGCAGGTACTATCAACCTGTCAATTAGCCAAACTTCTTTTTCAAATCAATCAGTATAGCATAGAAAACATCACAATTTAAGAGTCTTCAGACTGATGGGGAAGTGACCCCTCAGGGGAGCCACAAGTGGTACTTTGCATAGAAAACAGAGCAGAGAGGAAACATCAGCAATTCTGAGAAAACCTGACATCAAAGAAAAAAAATATATATATATATACACACATATATACGTATGTATTTGTCCTACATTAAAGGTAGAAGGTACAGCAGTACAGTAAATGTCAAAACAACCTCGAGAATGAAGCAGCTGGGATGGAAGCATAGCCTAAAGCAGTGTTCTCCAACCTCACCTGCATCAGAATCACTTGGAAAGCCTGTCGAAACACCCCCAGAGCTTCTGACTCAGCAGGTCTGGGTCGGGCCTGAGAATCTGCATTTCTCACGAGTTCAGGGACAACGCTGTTTGTGGTCTGGCACCACGCTCTAAGAACCACTAGCCTAAAGGTTTTTAGACCTGGAGGTAGTGGCCACAGCTGAGGCCCTGGCAAGGATGAAGGAACCAGAAGCGCCACAAGAGCGGTGGGCGGGGAAGATGACCCACGGGACGTAAATGGCCTGCTTTTAACAGACCCCATTTCTCCTGTTGGTCCCCCTGCAGGCCCGGGCACGCTCCGGCCATTGAACCGCGAGCCCGTTCCCCCAGCCCAGCCCAAGGCTGACGCCGCCGGGCCGCTGCAGCCGCGGTAGCGACGCGCCCCCTCCCGACCGTCCCGGGTAATGTCATCCGAGAACGCACACTCAGGCGGCCGGCCGAGGTGGGCGGGGCTAACCTCCCTTCGTGAGGCTGTTGGGAGAGCAGACCTCGGAGATCCGAGTCCCCGCCCCCGAGCCGTGATTGGTCAACGCCGCCCGAGCGCGGTGACGTGAGGCCGGGGCGGAAAGTTTGTTTGGAAGAGCGCGGGAGCTGGGAAGTCCAGGGCCTGCTACGTCCGGGGAAGGCCTTAAGATTGTTCCGCTGCCAGGTGCTCCTTCGGAAACGCGGGCTGATTCCTCACGACTTTCCGGTACTAGCCGCCTCTTACCTCGGAGTGCCTCTCTGCCTCCCTGGTGCCCAGGTGAGCGTCTGAGTGGGACCTCTGGTAATGTGTGTGTGTTGGGGGAGGGGATTACTGTGCTCCTGGCCCCCAGACAGGAGAGGAGCTGGAGGAGTATGCTCAGTTTCTCCGATGCTCCGAGGACATCCTCTCGTTCCCACCACCCACCTTCTTAGCATTTGGGATCACTGGTCTGATGGTGCTGGGCCTTGTGGCTCTGGCTGATCAGTTCTTGCAACAAGTTAAAAGTACCTGCCGTGAGTTAAGCACAGGTAATTATGTCCCAGTACTTACGAGTGCCGGTAACAAAGCAGATGCGTGATTCCTTTTTGAACTGAAGTGAACACAGCCCCTAAGGAGAGGACTCTACCAGGAAGACAGGTATTACGTGGCGTGACAGGTGCTCACTTCGAGGTGTATGGGGAAACACTTTTAAGGGGTGACCTCTTTGAGAAACTGATACCTGACCTAAAGTTCGAAGGAAGAGGCAAAGAATTGAAAAGAATCAAAGCCTGTGAATTGACTGGCAACTGCTAGTGAGCCTCTACAACACCAGCGGTAGACAGACAGTTGCCTATTCTTGCAAATAAACGGAAACCACACTGCAGGGTATTGGTTCTTTTATTTTCATTAGGTACCGGTTTCAGAGAACATGACGGAGGCACTGGACCTCACAGGGCGGGACTCTGATGCGGGTAGTGAAGAAGTGGTCCTAACTCCCGCAGAGCTCATTGAAAGGCTGGAGCAGGTAAGCATTAATAATAGTGGTTATTTCACAGAGTCATTGTGAGGAGTAAATGGGATGATATATGTAGAATGCTTGCTTAGCGTATTGTTTGGCCCATGATAGGCACTCAGTGTTAGCTGTGAGTAGTAATAATCCTTACTACAACCCGGTGAGGCAAGTATTACTGCCCAACATGAACCAAGTCTCTCTGACTCCCATATTATCTGCTCTTAATGTACTACACCTGCTGCCTTATTCTTGTCTTCTCTCTTTAACAGCCCCTTTCTGGAACTCTCTGTTTGTTACTCTAGTAGTCTTCATTCTGTCCTACCATGCATGTCATCATGAGTGACAAAAGGAAGATAATTTTAAAATTATATCTTATATGATAATTCTTACTGTATGAGTAATTCTTCATTTGTATTTGTATCACAGACCTTTCTGAAAATCTGGTGAAAACTGGCCCTTTTTCCCAGAATAATATATGTATACACACACACATCCAGAAATTTTGCATGTCATTTCGGGAGGTTCACAGACACCCTGAAACCTGCCCACCTAGTTTAAGAGCCTCTGCTTTATTAGGAAAGGATTCATGAGACAAAAACCCTAAAGCACAAAGCATAAAGGAAAAAATGGATACATTCAACTACGTTAAACTTGAGAACTTTTGTTTTTACACCTTGAGGGCAGTAAAAAGACATGCTGCAAAACTGGGAGAAGATATTTGCAATATTAGTATCCACACTGTATAAACAAACTTTACAAACTACCCAATAGAAAAAAATGAAGTCTTAACAGGCATCTCCCAGAAGCGGAAATCAGGACGGCCTAGTGGCCATCATATGGAAAAGATGTTCAATCTTTTTAGTAATCAGGAACATAAAAATTTAAATCCCAAGGAGATACCACTTCATACCCATCAGATTGGCAAAAATGGAAAAGGTGAACCATATAAAGCAATGTATAAATAAAACAACATAAAGGACTGTGGAGCCATTTGCACACTTGTTTACTGTGGTGAATTGGTGCACTTTGAAAAATAATTTGTTACTGTCTTGTCAAGTTGAAGGCACACGTATCTTGTGTCCCATTCTTTTTGCTCCCAGGTCCATACCCTGGAAAAAACTTCCCCGGGGGCATGCACAAAATGTTCATAGTATTGTTTGCAACAGTTAAAAACCAAAAGTAACCCAAATATCTGTCAACAATAAAATAAATAAAAATTACGATCTATATGCACAATGAGAAAAAAAAAAAAAAACAGCAATACAGTGAAAGAGAGCTCCTGCAACAACACGGATGACTCTCGAGAGCATGATGTAGAACAATAAAAAATAAGTTTCTGAAGAAACCATTTATGCTAAGCTCAAGCACTTGCAAAACTGTTGTTCGAGGCGTAGCTCATGACACATGCTGGTATGCTGCAGTGCGTCACAATGTTGACATCTGTCCTCTGGGACAGGGGGATCCCCCAGACTGGTTGCCTCTCGTGGCTCTGAGGGGCTCCTTGGAAGGCAGCACAGCCTCAGCTTGGCAGTGGGTGAGCAGAAGTTACATCTCGGGCCTGAAGCTCTGTCGCAGTGCCCTGAGTGCAGCCGAAGAGTTGGTCCACTGCCTGGACAGCTGCTGTAGCCGGAGCATAGCCTGAGGAGCCACCTGACGGCCCCTCATAAACACAGCTCCAGGAGCAGATAGAGGATACTCATGAATGCCTGTTAAAAAAATGATTTAAAAGTTATTACCTACAGTGCAAAGTTTCTCACTTTAATAATTGTATTTGTTTGCTAAGACTGTATAATGAAGCATCATAGCCTGGGTGGATTAAACAAACAACAGACGTGTATTTTCTCAACTCTGGATCCTGGAAGTCTGAAATCAAGGTGCTAGCACCGTAGATTTCTTCTGAGGCTTCTCTCCTGGGCTTGTAGATGGCCATGTTCTCCCTTGTCTTCACATGGTCTTCCATGTGTGTCTGTGTTCAAATTTCCTCCTCTTAGAAGGACACCAGTCTGGGGCGCCTGGGTGGCTCCGTCGTTAAGCATCTACCTTTCGGCTCAGGTCACGATCCCAGGGTCCTGCGATCGAGCCCCACATCGGGCTCCCTGCTCGGCGGGAAGCCTGCTTCTCCCTCTCCCACTCCCCCTGCTTGTGTTCCCTCTTTCACTGTGTCTCTCTCTGTCAAACAAATAAAATCCTTAATTAAAAAAAAAAAAGGACACCAGTCATTGAATTAGAGCCCAC